CGCAGTTCTTCCAGATAAAGAGGTGAGTATTTTATTAGAGATGTGCTATTTAAATATTTCCTTAAGAATATTTTTACCAAGTTTATACTTAAACTTAATGAAGCAATTTTTGATTACACACTCAATAAGACTAGTGAGAAGTATATCCGTAGGGTAACCTTGTTCTTTAAGCTGCATTTTGGTGACTTTTAGCCTATCTATGAAATCTTCTCTTTTAGTGCAAGTTCTAGCAATCCTTAAAATCTCAGTATATTGTATTTCTTTTAATACGACTTGATATATTAGCTGTAGAATTAGGAAAACGTTTTATTTTAAAGTTGAAGTGATCAGTTTTATTGTACATTTTTGTATAAATGTTATTTTCTTCAATGTTGATTTCTAAGTCAAGGTAGTTACATCTATAATCATTTTCATGTGTAATTTCTAAGTCCAGTATGTTAGCATAAATACTTTTCAATTTATTTAAGATAGTAATTGTATCTGTATTATGTAAGACAAGTATGTCATCCATATACCTAAAAGGTACCATTTTTAATTGTTGTGGGTTATGTTTATTAAGGGAGTATATGTATTCGAAATAGGATAAAGTGAGGTCTGCCAATAGTGGGCTAACATTACTACCTTGTGGGACACCCTTTCCTTGAATGAAGATGTATTCTAAGAATTTACAGTAACTGTTGTTTAGTAGATAATCTATGTAATAAATGATGTCTGTTGAAGTGAAATAGTTATAGTTTTTATATGAACAATTATCAGTGTAAAATGTTCTGAAATCATTGTTGGGTACTTTCTGCCACTGTTTTTGAAGCATATTTTAATTATTTCTGTAATGTTTTTCATTATATAAGTGTGTGATAAATTAGTGAACATATTGGTGAAGTCGGCTGAAAAGAGTTTAAGGTTTTCTGTATTGGAATTTTGTAGTTTATCACTAATATTGATGTTATTTATGGCCCAGTAACCTATAAAATTACGATTTCTGCCTTGTATTGTGAAGTCGAAAGTGCCATCTTTTAATTTTCAAAACGAAATGCCATCTTTTAATTTTCAAAACTGTGATATGATGCTGTATCTCGTTCAAGCAGGTTCCTAACTCGTCTTCCAGTTGGTCGGCGCTGGGATGTGATCTGATCATCAATCTGCTCAAGTATGAAGCGTCCGGATCAACATCGTACATGGCCACCCTGAAAGTTGAGAGTACATGAGTTTTTGAACTTGACGGCGCTACGGAGCGCTTGAGTGTATTGTTGAACTTGAAACTCAGTGAGGTAATACTCGAGTTATGGTTACTTGCAAGTATGGGGTTTCTGACTTGGAACCAGACCTTAACCTGGTGAAATGTTGGTGAGACTAGGCTTCTGTAATGAGATTCCCTTGCACTATTCTTAATTGAAACCTCAAGTTGGAAATATCGCTTTTGTGGCAAGTACTTGATCCCGAGTACTTTCAGGTGTCTATTCTTAGACTTGCTGCAGTGGCCATGATATCCCGCAGAGTGGAGTCATTAGAAACGAACTCGCGCAGATTCATAGATAGGTCTCGGAACATCTGTTTGACTTGTTCATACTTTCGACTTGCTTCTTCCAAAGTGTCTGCTGTTAGAAGCAGGTTGTCCACATATAGATTATTCTTGATCTCCTCGACAAATTTCGTGTCATTCGTACAGGAATTCAAATGAAAGTGTGTTGTGGCTGCTAGCAGGAAAGGTGAACTATTTAGTCCGAAGGTAACTCTTGTGAAACGAAGAGTTTTTATGTTCTCCAAAGTTGGTGGTCTGTTGTGGTCTGTGTAACCAAAGACATCTTGTTGCATCCCTGTCGATCTCTTGAAGGCGCACTTGTAAAAACGCTTTCTCGACGTCAGATGTGAAGCCTATTTTTCCTATTCGGAAGCGTAGGAGTATCCCGAAGAGAGGTGGAAGAATAACTGGACCACGGTGAAGAACTTGATTGAGAGAAGGACAACCCTTGTAGTGGGCCGAAGCGTCGAAAACAATTCTCAGCTTTGTTGTTAACTTGTTTGGCGTCAAAACTGCCTGGTGCGGTATATAGTGGATCACTGAGCCACTTGCTGTAGCGTGCTTGGGGACTTCTTCCACTATATTCAGACGTAGTTGTTCCTCGAAGACGTTATTATACATTTGTAACAGCTCTGGATCACGTTGCAAAGAGTTCCAGTTATTGGCTAGTCGTCGTAGAGCGTTGGCTTTCTTATCGGAAGGAAGGCGGACATATTAGCCGTCGCCCCGACGTTGTATGGTTTCATTGAAATTGTCCCATACCTTTTTATCGATGCTGGCTTTTTCTGCCTCTTGCGTTCCGTTAAACTCTTGAGTTCCTTCATTTTCGAGTGTCCAGTAGCGATCCCACTTATCTTCTTCTGTAGTGCAGTCGGTATCTTCCCAGTATTGACTTGCACTTCTAATAACCAGTATTTGTCCCATTTTTGACTGGAAGACTGTACCTCAAGGACTTGATGTGGGTGATGGTACCTCCCTGTTATGAGGTTGCCTGTTTTTGTTGGTAGGAGTTGAAGTCCTGAAGGAAGCGGAACAGGTGGCTCGTCTGTCTTCCAGAATTTCCACACTTGATCACAGCCAAGAAGTATCAGTGGCTTCACTGCCTTTTCCTTCCATCTATGCTGGACTGAAATGTTCAATGACTTCAGGAACTCTGCATCTTCTTGAAGCAGTGGGGGAGAGCGAAGTGGTTTGATCAGAATCTCATGTGTTGTTAATTCCAGTTCATGAGGTCTTCCTTCGACATCCTGAACTTGTACGCGTACAATGCGGCACTTTTCTTTTGGATTTCTTCAGAACCAAACGTGTGCAGAAAA